TTTGGGCTAGCTGTATTAAGATCCTTTTGTGGTGTTGAGCTTGATAAACAACTGTTTTTGATGTCATCTTTTAATGAAAATGTCACATCTGGTGTTAATTTTTATGTATCGGTTTTAAAATCTTGGAATGTATTTAGGGTGTATAGGTCTGAAAATGATCACTACGGTTTGAATGAACCATTGTTTTTTAATTCCTTTTTAGGAAATGTTTGTATATCTAATAGTATAGTTAAGTTATGTATGATGAAAGGTTTCACTAAAGTGGGACACTTGATTAACTTAGACTCAAAAGAGTGGAGATCAGCGGAAGAGATTGCCAGGCAGGTTGAATTGAGGTCTGTGAGGGTGGTAGAGCAGTTGATTTTAGGCTTGAAAGCCGCTCTCCCTCCTCCTCTCTTGCAGTTGTTGAATTTTTCTTTAGAGAGTGGGCCTATACAGTTACCTTTTCCTAAGTTAAGTGTGTCACCTGGAGTTTGCCCTGAAGTCAGTGGGGTTGGAAAGCTGTTAAATTTTGAGAGATTAAAGGGGCTACATTTTCAAACAGTTGGAAAAAAAGATATGTATCAGGTATGTGTAAAAACTGCTTATTTTAAAGATCTTCATGAAAGATGTGATACAAAATGGAGAGAAAAATTTGCAGTTACAGATTGTATTTTTCCTTCCTGGAATTCATTTCATTTACGCTCTCATTTATATTACATTATAGAGAAGCTGCTTTTAATACAAAATATTACCTTTCAACAGAACTGTACACATGATTTCATATTCAAATGAGATAAACTATATAATAATAATGCAGAAATAATGTTTATATCTATATAATTTTCCTCAGTGTTTCTCTTGTATGAATCACAAAGCTTTTACTGAATGCTGCCTAATTATTATTAATAAATAAACACTAGATATTATTCCACAATAATGCAGTGAAATAATAATAATAATAAATGTTATTAATAATAATAACAACAATAATAAGCTTGCTGGTATTAACAAAAACTACAATTTAAATTATTCAGTTATTTCTTTAATTATTCAGTAATTAAAATAAAATAAATAAATAAATTACAAATGACTAAAACTAAAAATGAAATATAATTAGTTATAATTATACATATTAAAATGAAGCTAAACTGATTTTTACAGTAATAAAAAGAACAAAAACTTACACAAAATTATATATATATATATATATATATATACACACACATTTACATTTAGTCATTTAGCAGACGCTTTCATCCAAAACGACTTACGAATGAGGACAATATAAGCAATCAAAACGAACAAAAGAGCAATAATATGTAAGTACTATGACAAGTCTTGGTTAGTCTAACGCAGTACATGTAGCAAGTTTTTTTTTAATAATAAATAAAAAGCAAACAAGTAGAATAGAATAGACTAGAACAGAATAGAATAGAAAAAGAATATGAATGCTGGTGTTAGAGGGTCTTTTTTTTTAAATTAAAAAAAAAAACAAGAAGTAGAAATAGAATACAAAAGGAATAAAAAGTATAAAGAAGCTAGTGTTAGAAAAAAACAAGCATCATCTTTGTTCATGCCGTACACTTGCATTATGTGCAGAAAGATTGACTATTTTTCCTAAACTCTCAGTCTGTGTTCATCTGAAGAAAGAAAGTGGTACACGTATGGGATGGCATTAAGGTGTGAAGGATGGATTTGTTTCTGCTCCACTGTGCTGCATTTTAATTGTTGTTGTTGCACTAGATAGATGTGTTTGATCTGTGCCACTGCATTTGCTTTTCTCCCTTTAAATTTAACTTGTGTTTGTCTGTCTGACAAAACATTTTATGCAGTTTATTTTGAAGCTATTTCACTTTGCATTGAGAAGATCATCTACTTTTTTAATACTTGAGTACAATTTAAAATCTTACTCTTTTTTTACCTTAAAAAACCACAACAAATTCCTCGTGTGTTGCACACCTGGCGAATAAAGCTAATTCTGATTCTGATTCTGATTTTACTTTTATTCACGTGTGTTTTTGGCCATTTACTTGTACTTTTAATTAAGTAAAATGTTCACAGAGTATCTGTACTTTAGCTTGAGTTTAGTTTTTGAGTACTTTTTACACCCCTTTCTAAAGTGAAGCTGCTGATTTTGGTGCAGCAGATGATCTGGTTCTTCACACATAATGCTGAAATCTGTCAATATTGCATCATTTCCAGTGTGTGTGTATGCGAGCTCAGATCTTCTGCAGTCAGACTCACTGTTCTGGACCATGTCCTGCATCTTCGTCCAGACTCTGAAGGGCAGGTTGCCCAAGTAACGTGGCACATGAATCAAAGCTCCAGAAGGAGTCTGTGGATCCGGCTGTGATGAGATCTGGACTCTGGAAGAACATTCAGGATCAAGGAAGCATTTATCAATGCAAAAATGTTGTTGGCTACAGCTTCTGCACTTTTGGCCCCACATTTGAAGCATCCTTTTAGTGTTGCAGTGGATGCCGGTGAGAGTGGGGCTGGTGCTGTGTTAATGCAGGTGAGCTTGGACGGTACAGAACATCCAGTATGTTACTTCTTTAAGAAGTTGAACTGCAATCAATGGGCTTACTCTTCCTTTGAGAGGGAGGCACTTGCTCTAATTCTTGCTGTTCTACACTTTGAAGTATATTTGGGGTCATCCACAAGCCCTATAGTCATATATACAGATCACAACCCTTTGGTGTTTATTAATAAAATGCGGAATCAAAATGAACGCATTATAATAATAATAATTGGAGTTTGATTCTACAACAGTACCCACTAGACATTAGACATATCAGCAGCAAAGATAACATTATTGCAGACATGTTGTCTCATGTCTAGACTTTTGGGGGGGTGCTCTTGGTTTCTTTTCTTGTTCCTAGAGCCCAGGATGAAGGAAAGAAATGGATGCATCACAGGAGGTCTGTTGGTTTGTTTACGTGTGTGGTGCAGGTTTTCAGTACTGTAAACCTCTTTCTAGGGAGGGCGGTGTTACGACCCCCTGTGCTCTCCTTAGGCCTTTCTTTGTCAGTGCATGGGCAGGGATTGGCCTGAGGGGCAGTTAGGTAACTGGGCACACCTGGGGCATGGGTGATTGTATACCAGCGGTCTTTTCTATATAAAGAACTGGGCTGTTGGTCTTAAAGGAAGGTCACATGCTTTGGTCTCACACACCTTGGGTTTTCTTTTTCCCTTTTAATATTGATCTTTCATTGCATTTAGACATATATTTAAAAAAAAAGTGTTATTTCTTTTTCCCTAGACAAAGAACATTGTTTATGTTTTATTGCTTAATTTCTTTTCCCAATAAATTATAAATTATTTAAACCCTATTTCATTGTCAGTCTCCCTCTTTATGTTGTGGTCTTGGAACGAGCTCGACCGTAACACTCTGGATTCTGTTTCCTCACCTTGATGTGTTGAACTGTTTTCTCAAACTCTCCTTTCATTTCTTCATTGTGTTGAAGTTTCTCCTGTAATGATTTCAGTGCTGTATTGAGCTCCTCCTAAAATTAAATAAAATAAAAATATATAAAACACAAGATTACAGTGAAAAAAAAAGAGGAGACAATACAGTGATATGATCATATAATGCAGTGCAAAAGTATTTGATCCCATCCAAATTTCATCTGTTTTTGTGAACATCTCATACTAAATTAATTCAGAAATTAATAAGTTTGCAAATGACAAAGTTATTTATTGAAGCAAAAAAAGTTATCCAATACCAACTGGGCCTGTGTGAAAAAGTATTTGCCCCGTAGTTATTAATTCCTCAAATCTAAGAAACTTTATTGATAATGGAGTTCAGCCGGACTAAACACAAGCAGCTCTGATCAATCAAATCAACACTTAAACTGGACTTTTATAACAACATGAAGCTGGTTAAAAGTTGTTTCTCTCACCTTATATGATGAAACCACTTCATCGATGGGTCTGAATTTATGATTGTCATGTTTCTGTGAATTCATACACACTAAACACACCGGCTGTTTATCCTCCAGACAGAAGAGTTTGAGTTTCTCACTGTGTAAACTGCAGATCTCCTCAGATCCTGATGAATGCCTCTCATTTCTCTGCTTCAGGAACGACTCACACAAGTTTTTTAACACTAGATTAACTGGAGGCTGATCTCTTGAGGATCTTCTCCTGCAGACGGGACACTCCTGAGTTTTCTTGGTTCTCCAGAACTGCTGAAGACACTCTTTACAGAAACTGTGACTACATGACAGAAGAACAGGATTCTTGAAGATTTCACAGCACACGTGACAAATATAATCATCTTCAGATAGAGAAGCCATTTTCACTCTTTGAGCTCCAGCGATCTAAACTTTACTTTCACTTTCTGAACGACAGTTTGAAAAACGAATCACCTCGAGAATCACAAAGATCTGCTATCTATTCAGAAACAACCTTCACAAAGATCCTTCTGTAAAGAGTTTCTCTTGGTTCTTCACTGATGGCTGATTCTTTATTGCTTTTGTCAGTAGAGAAGAGAGAGAAGAGAGTAGAAAGCAGAAATAACATGTCAGTCTCTTCCTGGTAAGAGCTGTAAGAGGGTGGAGTTTATGGAGTTTATAGTGTGTTTAAACAAGTCAGACAGCAACATCAGGATTTCTGCAGGTAACATCTTAACAAACTGTATTCAAATTGAACTTGCACTGAAATGTTAAAATAAACTGCTATAAACTCTAGGATAAAACACAAAAGAACAATGAAAATACACAAATATTAATGATAATGTTAATACATGCAGGCCCAGATTAAGAATTCAGAGGCCCCTGGGCACAATGTCTTGTAAGGATGCACCCATTCCACCACGGACAGTTATGTATGGAAGGCCAAATAATCCATTTAAAATCGACTCTGGTGCAGCTGCCACTGTAATATCCGAGAAAGCTATGAAAGCCTGAAAAATAAGATACCACTGAGCAAAACAAATGTCATACTGAGCAATCCTGGTGGCAAGCTGGGGTGTATGGGCCAGATGAGAACAAAAG